GAGAGTGAGAGAGAGAGCGAGAAAGAGAGAGAGAGAGAGAGAGAGAGAGAGAGAGAGAGAGAGAGAGAGAGAGAGAGAGATATCTAAGCCTATTACTATTACTTCCTTGTCTCCAGTTAGAGGCCGGAGACGGTACTGCCGGCTTCGTCATACACGCTAGATCTCGTTGTCTATTCTACACACCAACACAGAGTACACACACTCTCTGGTCATACGGGGGACTACTGCTGCAAATTACAAAGTTCGCCTAACAGGCAAGTAAAGCTGAGTGAAACGTATAAAATATTGTTAAAAACGGGTCTAATACTTCTTCACACTTCTGAGCAACTGATTCATACGCACAGGATGTAGTAATCGTACAGGGAGAAAAAAAAAGGGCACGCCCATGCAGCCTAACTTGTTGTTCGCGATGAAAAAAAAGTCTCCTTGCAGGCCGCGGTGACACCACTTTTATCAAAACCTGTCGTCGTCTGTTGGGCCTACCTACCTGGTTTGTGATTCAACAGACCAACCAACGTTCGAGTTCTATTTTTAGGTACCCGAAAGAGGAAGGGACATAACTGTCACGTAAACAGGTGTATCTAAACGAGGAAGCTAATCATGAAATAAGACAGGATTCGGCACTCCATAGATTGGGCTGTAAACTTCGGTGTCTAAGGAGATTATTTTCAATTTGGATGTAGTTTTTTGTTGTTAGAAAAGACATCTTTGTTGTAAACACCACCAGCCATCATTATGTGAAGAAAACAGAAGTTTAAGGGTCTTGTTTTGTTCTGTAATGTCTTTGGTCAGAATCTGACTTTCTGGCTGAGACTGAGAAATCGACTGGATTCACTTCTTCCGAGTGCCGACCTGCATGAACTCAGAAACTTTTTCGTTGTTCGAACTCTGGCTTTGTAAATCTAGATTCTAGATCTAGATCTAGATCCTGATCTAGTTCATAGTTTATATTTGTTGTTAAAGAATTATTTTTATGTATAGTCTTGACATGGAAAATTAGAAGAGAAAGTAAGTTGTTCAACTTGCTCCTTTGGGGAACTTTGTGACCCTGCTTCTTTTGTTCCAAAGACTGTTAAGACGACCGACCCAAGAATCTAGATTCTAGATCAGGTTCTCTTCAGGACAAAGGCGGAGGTTTTCTCTCTACAGACAGTGCCTGACTGGTCTTTGAGTTGAGAACTAGATTCAGATGGCACTTCTCACCAACGTCATGGGTTCTGGAACATTGTGTGTGCTGTTGCTCATCTGTTCCAGCCTGGTAAGTAGAGCTAGTAGTAGCAGAAGAACCCACTGCCATGACCGAAAACAAAGCATGAATGAATGAATGAATTGTGAAAATAATTCACAGGGCAGGAGTTGTGTTTCAGAAACTGCTTTCATTTGAGCTTTTGCCAAAAGGTGGGGGTGTTTGCTTTTTAAATCAACCACTACTCATGGTAAAATATGTTTTCTTCTGAAAACTTTATGTATATGGCAAGGAAATAAGTTGGTCAAGCTGCATGAGCAAGTAGATTGATGTGTGCATCTTATATCTCTACATAGAAAGATAATAGTACTAAAAATAGGGCATTTTTTACTCATCCTGAGTGCACACATAATTGTATGTTAAATACAGAATATTGTTAATCTTAAACTATCAAACAGAAGTGCATTCAAACATTGAAAATAGTTTGTATACACCATCATAACAGCGTGTGTCCATTAAAAGGGTTTTATTTTTTTATATTAATGATGTTATTGCTGAGTAAAATTTATAAGTTCGTTCATAACTCGTGTCATAATTACATCATCAGACTTTCCAAGGTCTAGAAAACCCAAATCGTTTAACATATCATCCCGGGGAATGACCGGTATTAAACATTGGTTTGACATTGATCCATCAGAAGGGTAATTTTCCGCTCCATCGCATGGTTTTGCTTAAATATGACTTTGATTGAGATAATCCAGGTTTGTCATAATGATGTTATGAACAAACACTTTATGATATTTCTGCAAAATATCATGTGAGGGACTTCCTACTGTTTCACAACATCCTTTTACATGGTGGAATGAACATGGAAGAGTATCGTGCTGATGACTCAAAAGAGACGCTAAGAAGAGGCAAAAATATGCTTGTCATAATGGATTGTCATCATGTTATGAATGTGACGGTGTGTCATAATGGTTATGAACGAAACCTTATTCCATGTAATTCATAGTTGTTTTGGGATGTATTTTTAATTTTAACCCAACTTGAGGATGTATTAGACCTTGCTTACATTCTGATATTTTGATTTTTATCATAAGTGTATGGGTCTGGATTTTAATTAGTATTTTACTTTTGTAGTAATGGTTATGAACGAACTACATATTGTACTCTGAGGGCTTTCCAGAGTTGATAAACATTAAAAACATGTACACAGATACATATTATGAGGAAACTTTCATTTAATATAAAATTTAAAAGTAAATGACAGGTCAAAATATTAATTTTTAGGTCAAAACTGAAGTTTGTCATAATAGTTATGAACGAACAATTAAAGGTATTCTAAGGGTTTTTCAGTGATTAAACTTTGAATTCTTCCCACATATAACCTTATTTTGAGGAGAGTCTCATAAATTAAAACAATTTTATGTGAATGACAGAACAATAAGTTAATTTTTTGGGGCCCAAAGTAAAATTTGTCATAATAGTTATGAACGAAACAGTGTGTCATAACGGTTATGAACGAAACATTATTCCATGTAATTTACAGTTGTTTTGGGATGTATTTTTAATTTTAACCCAACTAAAGGACAGAATAGACCTTGCATACATTCTGATATTTTGATTTTTATCATAAGTGTATGGGTGTGGATTTTAATTAGTATTATACTTTTGTAGTAATGGTTATGAACGAACTATTTACAGTCCATTTTATATATTTTGAGGGCTTTTCAGTGTTAAAAAACTTTAAAAACATGTACAGAGATACATATTATGAGGAGAGTTTCATTTAATAAAAGTTTAAAAAAATGAATGACAGCTCAGAATGAGTAAATTTTTAGGTCAAAATTGAAGTTTGTCATAATTGTTATGAACGAACCATTTTAAAGGTATTCTAAGGGTTTTTCAGGAAATAAACTTTGAATTCTCCCTACATAGAGGAATCTATCATATTTTAAGGAAAGCCTCATAAATGAAAACCGTTTTATGTGAAAGACAGAACAGTATAAGTAAATTTTAGGGGCCAAAAGTAAAATTTGTCATAATAGTTATGAACGAAACAGTGTGTCATAACGGTTATGAACGAAACATTATTCCATGTAATTTACAGTTGTTTTGGGATGTATTTTTAATTTTAACCCAACTAAAGGACAGAATAGACCTTGCATACATTCTGATATTTTGATTTTTATCATAAGTGTATGGGTGTGGATTTTAATTAGTATTATACTTTTGTAGTAATGGTTATGAACGAACTATTTACAGTCCATTTTATATATTTTGAGGGCTTTTCAGTGTTAAAAAACTTTAAAAACATGTACAGAGATACATATTATGAGGAGAGTTTCATTTAATAAAAGTTTAAAAAAATGAATGACAGCTCAGAATGAGTAAATTTTTAGGTCAAAATTGAAGTTTGTCATAATTGTTATGAACGAACCATTTTAAAGGTATTCTAAGGGTTTTTCAGGAAATAAACTTTGAATTCTCCCTACATAGAGGAATCTATCATATTTTAAGGAAAGCCTCATAAATGAAAACCGTTTTATGTGAAAGACAGAACAGTATAAGTAAATTTTAGGGGCCAAAAGTAAAATTTGTCATAATAGTTATGAACGAAACAGTGTGTCATAATGGTTATGAACGAACTTTAAATTTATGACCTAAGACCAGTTTGCGTTTAAAAATAGCTGTTCAATGGTCTTCCATTTATCACTTGACTATAATTAGACCAGAGTGTTATTTTAGACAATTCTAGTCGATGAAACTTGATATAATCGATAGTATTTTGGTCACTTATTGTTCGTTCATAACTATTATGACACAAAAAAGTAATTTTATCAAAAATTAATAAAGATTTTTATAAATTGTCAATTCTATGTATTTTTGGAAGTTATTTGCTATGTCTCAAAATATAACATCAGCCTAGCTGAAAAAAGGAACTTTGAGTATTCATAAATTTGTGTCATCATTGTTATGAACGAACTTTTTGCTATTTCCGTCATTCAAGTCAGAATTACACCAAGACCATTGCATATACAGCTTTGGCAGTTACTGAGTCTGAAAGAGCAATCATTAGGCTATATAATATGGGTGATTAAAGAATTATTACATAAAGTTGATTTTGGACCTCATTTGTCACACCCTGGTATCCCACCTTTTGGCAAATGCTCATTTACAACCTCCATTTCAGAACAAATAAGAGGAATAAAAATCATCATGCCTTGTGTAGAGGAGGAAAAAAAAGGAATAAATGAAAACTTACTCGCAGTGACTACGTTCACGGCGCCGTGAATCATCCACCATTGGCACAGAGGCATGACTGAAACACTATAATCCCTCCAAGTGAATGAGAAAACGGCACAGGAATACTCGCGTAGAAAATATGTTGGGGTGGTCCGAATGCAACGGAGTTTACAGAGAAGGCTAAGGCGAGCACAGCAAAACAGCCGCGGTCGACAAGGCCTGGTTTGCTATGCGCGCGGAACAGGACTTCGATCCTCTTCCCGTGTGCAGACCCGGCAATGCTTGACAATTTGAAAATAAAAGTCGTTCGAAGAAACTATATATAATATAAGGGAGAATGGAAGAATTTTAGGCCCAGGCGGGAAGAGGGGGCGAAAAAAATCTAGCAAAAAGGATAGGGGGGGAAGGGAGCAAGATCATTCTTAAGTTGCAAACTAGATCTGCATTCAAAGTGCGAAACTTATTTCATGTTCTTTTTAGGCCCTATAAAAACCCTGTCTAAAGTCAAGCAAGAAGCTCTGATGTGGCTCAGCTAATGCTGAGCACTGCGAAACACATGACCTGTGTGGTGTAGGCTTACATTTTCTTAAAGCTCTCGAGATTCGAGGCATTTTGAATCCCAAGATCTACCGCAGTTATACATCATGTACATGGGTTCTATATATATTTATAAAGTAATTTGCTTTCTGTAGCTATCTTTTGCTGTTCTTGGTTTTCTTGAAAAAAATAGGCTTAAAAAATTTTTTTTTCAAGATTATATTGTTGATTTTGTACAAAGAACAATAGAATGAGGACGGGCACTGTCAAAGTGAATGTATGTTAATGTACCATTTAGGCCTATAAATGCTGTGTTGATGTAATATTTTTTCTACTTTCTTTTTACCACATACTGTTGGTTTGTTTCTTTTCTTTCTTACGTAATCTCATTTTCAACAAATGAAATCAATGATGTATTCTTTTTTCAAAGGAAATGTTGATTTCACAATTGTTCACCAGAATTGAGGTTCTAGCTTTCCAATTTTTAATACTCCTCAGTATGCTGCTGAGGCTACCACCACAGCTTCCACACCGACCCAGACAAACCCAACGACCCCGACACCAGGTGTGTATATAATTATAATTGTCATGTGAAGTGGTGAGTGGCAGAAAAGAATTTACTCAATAGTTCCAGTAGTGATTCCTGTTCTTCTTTCAATAGAGATCATATTTTAACCTTAATATTTTTGTTTTTTTACCTAAGAAACATCTGAAGAGAGGTCAGGAAGAGAGGGTGGTAGTGTTCTGGTGTGGTTTGCTCCTCCTTTCCTATCAAACTGTTATCAATCCTTTGGCCGATATGTCTCCCCTTCAATTGTTTAGAAATTGTTACTTTCAAGTAACACCTCTATTCTTCAGCATTTGTGTGACCTCTTTGTGTTGCAAGTGCGGTAAAACTTACTAAAACTAAGGTCAGGAAGTGGTCGCAGTGTGGGCTTTTTTTACGTGAGCACACGATCTCAAACTCTGAACCTTTGTGGTTTTTTTTTAGAAGATGTAGGCTACTTTAGTTCTGGGAATTGTTCCGTTCAAACATCTTACTGACACAAGGGCTGTGGTGGTGTCAAATAGTTGGGAAGCTATGTTTCTTTTTGCATCTGGTAGACTCATCTGGTAGACTCATCTGGTAGGCTCATCTGGTAGGCTCATCTGGTAGGCACATCCGGTAGACTCATCCGGTAGGCTCATCTAGTAGACTCATCTGGTAGACTCATCTGGTAGACTCATCTGGTAGGGCTCCGTATTGTTCCAGGTTGTGCCTTGTGTTGCAGTCAGTGTTGTTTATTTCAGGATCTGATGTGTGCTTGCTGTTGAAAATTCTTACCTTTTTTTTTTACACTTTTGTTTTGATTAATGACTTGTGATGAATAAGGTTCATCTTTTTATGAGAAGTGTTTTCTAAAGTGGGGTGGAATGAGTTGTCGTGGAATGTGGACTTTCTAACATTTCTGTATGAGAGAATTTTGTATTGCATGTACTTTCAAGATGATGTTGCCATATGCCCTGTGCGTATTCAATGATATATATATATATATAATATATATAGATCTATATATTGTGTCTTGAGCTGGAACTTCTGCTGACTTCTTTTCCTTGTCATATTGCTCTGTCTAGATTCAATAGCACAAATAGTACATCATGTGTATGTTTCTGAAACATATTTTACCTAATGCTGTAAAAATAGTTGCAGTGCAGTAATTGTTTGGGATGAGTGTTTTATTTCCTTTCCTTGTTTAGTCAAGTACAAGTCATTTTTCATGTTAGAGCCTTATAATTTTTTTTCTGTTTTGTTGTGACATCATTGCACACTATAAAGCATCTGATGTAATTATTACGGTAATATCAACAGGATCGGGTCAGTACAATGATACCTGTAATCCTGATGGATCAGATTGTGCGCAGGGTTTGACCTGCTTGAATGACACCATTGAACCTTTGTGTGTGTGCTCATCGAGTCTGTTTTTTAATGGGAGCCTTTGTGTGGAAAGTAAGTGTTCCCAACCCATCAGCATGTCCCCTGTAACCCGTTTATTAATAAACTTTTACTCTGTATCTTTTATTGGAACAATTTTATTATATTATCGCTAATAATAGAGGTGAGTGTGAATAACTCATCAATTCAATCAATCTTTATAGATCTAGTCTTTTTGTTTGTTAATTTTAGTCATCATTTCAAATCAATCAGGTCTCTGCCATCTTTAAGTTTATGGTGATATATTTGTTTAGTACGCATTCACAATTTCCGTGCCACAGTAATGATGGATGGGGATAGATAATGAGCAAACATAATTGAAATTAAAGTACAGGGGCAGATTGCGTTGAGTTTGATTCAGAGGGGCCATAGTGGTACTTGTCAAAGTGTATCAAGTTATGAATATCTGGGTGCCTAAGTAAGTTATCAGGCACTTCTGAGCTGTAAGAGAAATATTTGGACGGTTCTACCAAATTATAATTATCAGGCTGGCTACATTATCAAGTAATTCTGAACCTTTTGCGGACTGGTTAATGAGAGCAGTGGAATTATACATGCAGCACTGACAGACTTTGCATGTGAAAACAGCAGAGGGGCAGAGGCAATGAGTTTTTTTTACAGTTTGGCATAGATGTAGCTCTGGTCTGAGAAAATTCTATTGTTGCAGTTTACTTTGTGATTTTACAAAGAATGTATAAAAAGAAATGAGCTATAGAAAAGAAGACTGTAACATATTGAAAAGATTAAACATTTTGTAGTTTTCAGTTTGGAAATCTTTTGATTTAAATACATTTTAAATTGTACTTTAGTTTTAGTTTTAGTAAGAGTTTTACGGCCCTTGCAACACAATAGGTCATGTAAGTGCCGAAGATTAGACTTGTAACAATTGATTTTTTCTGTCAGAAATATAGACATTAGTATTTGCCATTCGTGGAGCAGCCTGAACCATGGGCATGAACTGAAGAGATGGTTTGATGAGCTTTTGGTTCACAGTAATGGAGTAATCACAGTTGATAAAGTCAATGGCCAAGTTTTGAATTCTAAAGTCCAAATCTGAGAAAGTTACAGTTATAGCATTATATGAAACTTGCTCCAAACCAACAAGTTCCCTGCTTGGTTCCCAACCTAAGCACTGTTCCCACTGCTTCATCCCTCAGCCCCGCTCCCTTTTCCTACCCCTGTTTTTTTGTCCTGTGCTGTGTATATATATATATATATATATATATATATATATATATATATATTTGGACATGTAGAGTTATTGGTATAATCTCAAAGGTTGTTCACTTGTGTTTATTCGGACGTAAAAAAATATCCATTTATCTTGAATACAAGTCGAGATATTTGAGAAAGAAGGAAGTGGGGGGTCATCTGTTTTCAGAGGTAAAATTAGTGAGAAAATGGCCGCCAAAGATTACTTATTTCCTTAGCTTAAGAGTCCGTGGTATCTGAAAATTTACATTTTTTGTGCCTTTAATCAACGATTATCAGAAAAATTCACACAGAAATGAGTTCTTTAATGAGCTTGAAAGGTGTTGAGCCAAAAAACAAAAATTTGAAAAAAATTCACAAACCCTCGAAAAAATGCAAGTTTCTTCACTTTGATTATTTTGACGAGAGCCTGATTCCACCACGCTGCCTATATATATATACAGTCTCACCTGCTCCAACGACCATCTATATAAGACAATCCCCTGTGTAAACGTCCCCTTCCATTTTCTTCCCTTGAGTATTTTTTACTTTATAATGACACTGTGTACGGCTGTCTTAGACTGTTTCAACTGTATATATATATTTGTGCTGCCATCTGCCCTAGACAATGACCTGTACAAACAACTGTTTCCCCATTCCCCTCGCTTTTAAAAAAATTAATGGATTATAATGACACTGTGCAAAACACCTCCCTGTTGAAGACTACCACTTTTCAATTTGTCTCGGACAATTTTGACTGCGTTCTTACTGCCAGACGTTTATCATTGACGTAATAATGTTGTTGAATTATTTGAATGGGGTTTTAGAAATACAAGAGCTTTGAGTGAAGAAATTTCTTTTTTTTGAAAAAAAATTTTTACGGGGAAATCACACTAAGGTACATGGTGTGTGTCTATGTACCAGTTTCTATTCATGTGATGTCTGTGTGTATTTTTTTTCCTTCACTCGACAAATCAACTTCCTTGTTGCAGTTGAATTGAGCACTTACCATATTTTGAAATTCTTTTGAAGTGTGTACTCCGGTATTGAAGTCTTTCTTGACAGATTTGATCTGCAGGGGAAATAAGCTCGAAAAATGAATTCAGACATTGAGATCTTGAAAACGAGAAGTGAAATAGGGAAAGGAAAGAGACAAAGAGTACAAGGAGAGGGTGTGGTGTGTCACTGGGTGTTTGGTGGTGGGAATGGAATTGTCCCGCTATGATATGATACACTATGATACACACACACACACATACACACACACACACACTCACTTATACACGCACACACACACTCACATGCACACGCACACACACGCACTCTCTCACACACACACACACACACACACACACACACACACACACACACACACACACATACACCTCCCCTCCATTGTGAAAGTAAACAATTCTAGTATCAGTATTAACCTTTTTCGTTCTGTACGGATCCCTGGCTTGACACCTCCAGATATGGTTTAATGGGTTAATGTGTATTGATGCTATCGTTCCCTCTTATTTCACTGAGACCAACTCAATATGTTGATAGAACATTCAAGGCGAGATTGATAAATGCTGTTCTATTTATTCATTTATATTTTCCTGAAAGAGTATTTAGGTTTTTAAAGAGAAAGTGTGGGTTGTTGGTGGTTGCTCTGATGTGGTTTGCTCCTTCTTTCATATCAAATTCTATCTTCTTTATCTCCCCTCCTTTTTTGTGTTTGTTACTCTCTTGTAGCACTCTAATCTTCGGCACTTATATGACCTTATTGTGTTGCAAGTGCTGTAAAATTGTTACTAAAACAAAAACGAGAAAGTCTGGATGTATAATCTGTGTAAAATTCTTGCATTTCACTGATTCACATGGTCTCAGAGGTGTCATTATGTCAGTCATAACTCACTTCTCTCTTTATCAGAAATCGTACTACTAGGTCTTGTGTCATTTCTGTGTCTGCTTCAACATTTATTCCTCAGCTTATTTCCTTGACTTGCGCCCAACCACAAACTTAACTTTTACTGTTTACAAAGCAATCCTTTTTTTTTGTTTTGAACATGCACTCTTTTGCATAACCCAGTGTTGTTAGCTTAATTTTGTTTTTAAGTGCAATTCTTCCATTTTGCAAATATTAAATATTTTAAAAACTACTTTGTTCCCAACTTTTCCCATGTTTAACAGCTGCCGGTACTTTCAATTTGTCTTACCCTCGAGATGAATGATCTGTCTCAGTATCAATAATTACGAGAAATCATTTTTATTGAGACGTGAAAGAAAAGTTAGCACTCCTTCCTGTCTTTATTAGAAATGACTCTCTACGAAAATCTTAGAATTTTTTAGATGTCTTAAGAAAATGGAGTGGTCTCAGTATATTATAACATCTTACTCTTGTTTAACAGCTCAAAACGTTTTTCTTAAAATGTTACAGATAAGAATGTCATTATATAATTTATGCTGTTTCGCAAACATTTGTTCGGTAAATTGTGTACGCTTTACGTGAAGTGGGCCCGTGGCTTTAAACAATGATTAAAATACCCACCTACATGTCCCTACACATTACTCAAGACCTATTGTAATTTTGCTTGCTTCGGTACCGTAGTACACGGTTAATGTGAACCAATCAAGTTTTGCCAGGTATGGGTTATTTTATGCTTTCCCGCTCCCCACAATCCTGCTTGCCTGCACGATATCTTAAGGGAAAAGTTCAATCTATTAATTAGAATTTAATTTTCTGTGTGTTTAATTATCATGACAGGTTATTACAGACAGCTGGTGCCTGGCTTGTCCTCTTTCTGATCTTTGTGTATTGTAGTGGAGTCTTTTGTCTGGCTTTGTCTAATCCTTTTTTATGTAATATATATATATTTTTGGTTCGTGAGGGAATTTTTTTCTTCAATTTAATCTTCTAAATATGGGTTAAATTGAATGCACCCCCCCCCCTCTCTCTCTGTCTCTGTCTCTGTCTCTGTCTCTGTCTCTGTCTCTGTCTCTGTCTCTGTCCCCGTATCTGTCTGTCTCTCTCTCTCTCTCTCTCTCTCTCTCTCTCTCTCTCTCTCTCTCTCTCTCTCTCTCTCTCTCCCTCTCCCTCTCCCTCTCTCTCTCTCTCTCTCTCTCTCTCCTCTCCCTCTCCCTCTCCCTCTCTCTCTCTCTCTCTCTTTCTCTCTCTCTCTCTCTCTCTCTCTCTCTCTCTCTCTCGCATTAACCTCCAGGAAAACCGCCTTTTGTTCTGTACTACTCATGCTTTGTCAACTGTTTTAGAAATGAACACTTTTTGTGTAGCCAAAAGACTCTCTGTGGGTGGTTGGCAGGTGCTCTGGTCTGGTTTACTCTTTCTTTTTTGTCAAACATCTAACGTCCTCATGTCCCCTTCTTCTTTTTTATGTTTGTTACTCTCTTGTAACAGCTCTAATCTTATGGCGCTCATATGACCGTATGCAGTTGTGAACGTCGTAAAACCTCTACTGAAGCTAACTAAAAGACTCCCCCCCCCCCCCACACACACACCCCACCCCAGCCTGTTGTGGCCATGTTTTCTGTCACTCTGCTTTCCCGGGTGACCAAAATCTATCCCTCCTCTCTTTTGGTTTGAGGAAGCATTCTTCACTTATTTGACCTGAATGCACTTTTGGTTAGGAAAAATAGTATATTATATGCTCTAAAGTATGCTCCTGTCATGAATGTCTTTGTGTTTAGATTTTCTTTTTGCAAGGCCAGATGTATTGCATTTGACGGCTACTGTGTTGTTTTGTTGTTTTCTGCCTGTTTGGGATTCTTTCTGATGCAGCGTTGCTGTATGTTTCAACAGCCTTTGTGCTGACTTAAACTGGAGTACATCTATTTATAATGCTTGTAATAACAATGGTAATGATAATAATAATGATAATGATGTTGTATAACACGGATAGGGGGAATTCGTCGGGACCGGCCTCGATAGCTCGAAGGATCCGTTGTTCCAGGGATATCTTACGAAGGAAAAGAAGAATGGACCGCAGGCACAGTTTGGCGGATGCGTGATTTTGAGTCTTCTGTGTTGAACCCATCCGTGATATACTGTTATTGTATTTTATAGATAGCACTTATCCACCACCCCCCGGGGCAGTGCCACTGACTGAAGTGTCTTTAGGCCGTTCCCAAAGGGGGGACATTTCTCGTTCAAGCATACATGTAGTAGAATGGTAAATGGGCTGACTCATGTCACGCTCATAACTGTGCCTGATCTACAACAGGGAACTGCAGCTTTTTCTTTCCTGATCCTTACTATTGTCATTTTCCTCTACTTCTTTTGCGTGTTTGTCACTCTCTTGTGACCTGCTATTTAGGGGTGCCTTGATAGTCGAAGCAGACCTTGTGCTGTTGAAGCTAGAGAGGTGAGCAGTCTAAGTCTGATTCCCTGTAAAGACTTCTCTGTTGACACCCACCCCTTGGCGTTCATATGACCTTATGCAGTTGCGAGCGCCGTAAAACCCTCTACTGTAATAATAATACATATCCACGCTCTATAGCCTGCTCTATGCTCTTTTCCACCATCATTACCCCAGCAGACTCTAGAACACAACTCAGAAACATTCTCAGCTTCCCGGGAAGCATACAGTGCAAGCAGCTGATAAAGCGCTCAGACACCAACTAACAGACAAGATCTTTCACTGTCTATAGCTGGGTACCTATTCCCACATGATTGAAGTGAGGGAAAATTCGTGTAAAGTGCCTTTCTCACTAATGCAGTTTTGGACCCCTGACTGGATTCAAACCCACAACCCTATGTTTGAGAGAGTCCGCGAGCGTAACTTCTAGATCTCTGATGCCAGATTCATATTTTGACAAGTACTTATATTGTACATGGAGTTTTTGTATTGTGTACATAATTTACTGAGTGGAATCAATGAAAGGCACTCATTTTTGCAACCCATGCTGAAGACTTTGACTTTGAAGTACATGTATCTTAATAGACCCAGGTATGTTCATTAATGTATCAAAATGTTTCAGTATGTTTATGGTTTATTTACATATGTATTGAAGATATTAGTCAGTTGTAATTATACATTTTTGCCAAAACTCTTCTCTGTTGTCACCATTTCACAAAAGAACTGTCACAAATATCAACAGAGAAACAGTACAATGAGCCGTGTGATCCAAGCGTGACTAACGAGTGTGCACAAGGTTTTGAGTGTTTGAATAGCACATCAGAAGATTTGTGTGAATGCCCATCTCACCAGTACTATAACGAGAGTCTTTGTGAGGAAAGTAAGTCTGTACTGCACAATAATAACCCAGTCCCCTGTCCACCTGTCTACTAATGAGGGCAGTTTATTGAGGGAGTTTGTTGTTCTTAATTTATATGTAACTTGATTCTGTAACTCGCCTAACTCACTAATCAATCTGTGATTATTTAGTTGTTTGCATTGCGTAATATTTTGTTGGTTTTCATTCTAACTGCATTTTCTAACAGTCAAACAAAATTTTGCACTTTTAACTCAGTGTGGTCTAAATATTGCTTTATAACCCTGAATGTTTTAGACTAGTAAATGCTCACAGCAAGAACATTTTAATGTTTTCCTCATTTGCGTAGAAGTGAAAAACCAACAAGAACCCGAGATGTCTACTGAGATTAGGTTAGAGTTAGAGAAAGCTTAAGGCTGCTCAGATGTGAACAGATGAGGGCATGCCTCTTTTAGATGTTTCTTCACCAGAGATTTATATTCATGGTTTTTAATTCCACCATCTTTCATCAATCATCAATGCCTTTCACCCCTGGCAGGGTATAGGCCACATACAAGCTCCTTCCATTTATCTCTGTCTTGAGCCATCCTTCCAAGCTCGTTCCAAGTGAGCTTCATTTCTCTCATGTCCCTTTCCACGCATCTCCTCCATGTTTCCCGTGGCCTACCCCTGCCTCGTGCTCCCTGGGGGTTCCACTGCAGTGACTGTCTTGTGATGTTTCCGCTGGGCTTTCTTAAGGTGTGCCCCATCCATCGCCACTTTCTTAGTCCTATTTCTACTTCTATATCCTTTTGTCCTGTCCTTTCCCACAGCTCTTCATTTCTTATTCTATCCTGCCACTTAATTCTTAAAATACTCCTCATACATCTGTTGATGAAAGTCTGGACCTTATTCAGTACTGTCTTCGTTGTCTTCCAAGTTTCGCAGCCGTAGAGGAGCACAGACTTGACGTTGGAATTAAAAAGTCGAATCTTGGTGCGCAGTGAGATATTGCTTGCTCTCCAGACTTTTGATAATTGCTTGAAGGCTGACCTTGCCTTGGCGGTTCTTGCTTTGACATCTGCCTCGGTTCCACCTTTACCATCGATGACACTTCCAAGGTAGGTAAAGGAGTCCACTTCTTCAAGGGGAGTGTCTTCCACTGTCACAGCAAGGTTTGAAACTTTTCCTAGCTTCACTACTTTTGACTTGTCTGGATGTATACGTAGGCCAACACTCCTTGATAGGCTGTTGAGTTCCTTGGTCTTTTCTTGCATCTGAGCATGTGTGTGAGAGAGCAGTGCAAGGTCATCGGCGAAGTCCAAGTCGTCCAGCTGCTGCCAAGGGATCCATTGTATTCCATTTCGTTTGCCTCTGGTGGCTTCTTTCATGACCCAGTCAATTGCCAGTATGAAGAGAAAAGGTGAGAGCAAGCATCCTTGTCGCACTCCTGTCTGTACCTGGAATGGTTCTGAGAGTTGTCCTTCGTGGAAGACTTGGCAGCTTGTTCCATCATAGGTGGCCTTCACAAGCTTGACGATTTTCTCAGGTATTCCAAAATGCCGCATGAGCTTCCACAGAGTGTCCCTGTCCACGCTGTCAAACGCCTTTTCATATTCAATGAAGTTGACCACGAGTGGTGAATTCCATTCAAGCGATTGCTCAACAATGATACGAAGAGTAGCGATCTGGTCCACACATGATCGGTTTTTGCGGAATCCTGCCTGGTTTCCTCGAAGCTTCTCATCCGTTGCCAGCTTGATTCTCTCGAGGAGTATCCTGTTGAAGACTTTCCCAGGTATGGAAAGGAGTGTAATGCCTCTGTAGTTGTTACAGTTGCTGAGGTCTCCTTTCTTTGGCAGCTTGATTAGGTGGCCTTCCTTCCAGTCTGATGGTATTTCCTCCCTTTGCCAAACTTTTTCAAATAGAGCATAGAGAATTTCCACAAACCTATCTTTCTCTGCCTTAAGGGCTTCCGGTGGAATATGGTCGGGACCAGCTGCCTTGTGGGACTTCAGTGTTTTTATAGCAGCTGCAATTTCCTCTCTTGAAGGTGGTTCCGTGTCTATTGGGAGGTCATTTCTGGCTGGAAGAATTTCTGGTTGGTTTTCTGGAGGTGGTCTGTTCAGTAGTTGGTCAAAGTGTTCTCTCCATCGGTTAAGTTGCCCCTCTGGGTTGAAGATAGTCTTTCCTTCTTTGTCTTTCACTGGTAGAGTGGGCTTGCTGAACCTACCTGAAAGAGTTCTTGTAGTCTGGTGTACAATCCTCAAGTGCCCGTCTGTTGCTGCTTTCTCTGCCTTTTCGGCCAGGCCATTCAGGTAGATATTCTTGTCCTTCTTGATGGAATTCTTTACCTCCCGGTTTACTTCGGTGTACTCTTGTTGTGCAGCGAGTTTCTCTGTTCGGGTACGGCTGTTGTTGACTTGGGCCTTCAGCTCTCTTCTTCTTTTGACTTTGTCTAGAGAGTCCTGTGAAATCCATTCGTTCCTGGTGTTGTCTTTGGGTCCTAGGGTGCTCTGGCAAGTTGCATTTACTGCCTCTCTGAACTTATCCCAGTGTTCGTTGACTTCACATTCTTCCAGATCTTGAAGGGCTTGAAATCTGTTCTTCAGTTCCAACTTGAACTCATTCTTCTTTACTGGGTCTTTCAGAAGGCTAACTTCATACTTTAGACGGTTTCCAGCGGCGACTTGTGTGTATCTTCTCAGTTTTAGTTTCAGCTTTCCAAGGATCAAATGATGGTCTGATGCGACGTCTGCTCCTCTTAAGACTCGGACGTCCTCCAGTGAGCATCTAAATTTTCGGGAGATGCAAAAGTGGTCAATCTGGTTTTCCGTTGTTCCGTCCGGGGAGACCCAAGTGGCCTTGTGAATCTTTTTGTGTGGGAAGATTGTACCTCCAATGACCAAGTTGTTGAATGTACAGAAGTTTTGGAACCTTTCTCCATTGTCGTTTGCCTCTCCTAATCCGTGTCTGCCCATGATTTCCTCGTTGTGACTATTGTCCGAACCTACCTTTGCATTTAGATCTCCCATGACAATGTTGATGTCCTTACCTGGAAGTTTGTCGATGACGTTCTGCAGGCGGTTGTAGAAGTCGTCTTTATTCTCCACTTCTGCATCATTGGTTGGGGCATACACTTGTATGATGTTCATGTTAATGACCTTCTTCCTACCTTCTCTTACCTTGAGTTCTTTCTTAGTTCCAAATGAGGCCATGATGATCCTTGGACCATGTGCCCCTGAATGTCTTTTGAGCTGTTTTTGATATGATCATCCCTACTCCTTCCCTGTGTGGTCCATCATTGTCATTTCCTGAATAAACGAAGAGCTCCCCCTCTTTCATTCGCTTCTGTCCAGACTGGTTCAAGTGGGTCTCGCTGATTCCCAGTATGTGTAGTTGGTATGGGTGCATTTCTTGGAGAACTTGTGCAGTTTTTCCAGCCTCATAAAGGGTCCTAACGTTCCACGAGCCGATCCGAAGAGATTTGGACTTGGATGATGGTGGAGGCTTCTGCCGAGCAGCTTCCTTTCGGCTTTCACTGCCTTGCATCATAAACTCTCCATTTGGAGAAGATCCACGATCAGCCAAGCAGAGATAATGGTTTTTGCTTGTATGTGTTTCTGTAACAGGTTCTTTTTACGAGAGAGGTTGTTAGCCTCGTGACTCAACCCCCGACCTGGAGGCAGGATGACTCTGTTTCAGGAGTCACTACCTGGTTTGCCATTTAGTCGCCTCGTACGACACGCTAGCACCACGTCAGTCCTATTCTTCTCGATGCCGAGACTGCACGGCAGTGTTTTTAATTCCACCATCTTTACTGAGAAGAAACTTCTGATCTTGTATTCTGTTCGTTTCTTTTACATCTGATCTGAGTGCTCAACGTACCACTCCTAATGTTTTCTCGAAACAGTTAGTGAAAGTCACACGTTTGTTCTGTTATTTGATTGTAGTCTGAATAAGTAGTTTTTTCAGTTATGTCTATAGGCGTTAAATGTTGCTTTTTCTTTCTTACTTGCTTTGACCACGGAGAAGAACTGAGAGAATATTACCCTCACAAAATGATAGATTTATTTGATAACAGGCAACAAAAGCTACAGGGTGAAATGGGATGATAGTGACGATCATTTTGTCTTTCACCATTAGACTTAATGTGAGTACTTGTGCCAATTATTCAGAATGTGCAGATAAAACTTTTGTAATTGTAAGGTTGCGTACATATGTCTTCATCTCCTCGTCAGCCAATACTTATTCTCCCTTGGATGCTCTCTTCTACTGTATCCTTCAGGGTTTCTTTGGGCTCTCTGAGTCAGACTGTCCTGTCCTTAGATTGACTTTAGCGTCTGTTTCTCTCCTCGTCTAATATGTCTCAGGACTCGTTTATTTAAACAAAGAAGTGTTTTGAAACATGAACAAAGCATCAATCAATTTGCCATGCCATCAACAGAGCTACAATTTAATGAGACGTGTAGGCCGGATGATGAATGTGCAGAAAATCTTCAGTGTGATAATGAAACTGGCACATGTTTGTGCCCCCCCTCCCTGTACTATAACAGGAGCTCCTGTGTAGAAAGTAAGTGTCATCTCTTCTCTCAGAGCTTCAGAGTCAGAGAGACTCGCACTTATTCCTTTCTGGGTCCTCTCCTGCTCCCCTGTGTGAACATTGGCACAGCTACTGCATTCCTCAACCCTTACCCTTATATTAAGTTATTATATCGCTGTTCTTTATCGGTGAAGACTAGAGACTTGTCTTTTTTTTTTTAATCAAGGAAAGCTGGCAAATTGTCATCCACATGTATTTGTAAGAACAAGTATATAATCTTTGTTTTTTATAAATGGTTGAGTCTTTAGATTCATTAAAAAAGGAAACCAAAATAAAATGGAAAAATTGAATCCAAAGTGTTTCTTTCTTCTAGAAACAGCTTTTTACCAACAAGGATACAGAAAACTTTCTCTGCTCATGTGAATTTGACATGGAAATGTGTGTTAAGTAGAGGTTCAAAAGTACCATCGTTCGAGCTTCTTATGGGAGATAGACGTATCATTCGTCCATGGTGATATATTTTACCTTTTTTTAAAATCTTGTGAAACAGTCATCCAACATAGCATAATATGTCCATGGGGATATTTTTCACCTTTTCTAAATCTTGTGAAACAGTCATCCAGCATAACGTATGTGAGGCATCGTGGTGAAATCAGGCTGTCGTCAAAATAATGCGAACGGAGATACTGGCATTTTTCGTCCAGTTTAACTAGTTTTTTCAAATTTTTGTTTTTTTGCCTCAACACCTTTACTGTCTTTTTAAAAACATTTCTGTGAGGATTTTACTGGAGAACGTTGATTAAAGGCACAGAAAATGTAAATTTTAAATTTCCAAGGAATCTCAAGATTTGGAAATCAACAAACTTCAGCCGCCATTTTTTTCGCCTGTTTTATCTTTGAATCCACCTCCTTCAGTAGCCAATATCTCCGCTTTTATGTAAGCGAGATGTGTTTTTTATTCATCGAAAGATAGTCAAATGAACAAGCTTTAAGACGATACCAATAATCCCACATGATAAAAAATTGACGAGCGCCTGATTCCAATGCGTCTTACCACATATGTTCATGGTGATATATTTCACCTTTTCTAAATCTTTCTATATGGGTAAAATGTCCATTATTTGAGTTTATGTGTAATTGTTTTCACTGTATGTCCAAAGGAGAGATATTAAGCGAGGCAGCGCGTCTGGCAAACAAATGTAGAGTGTCTGAGGAATACATTATGTGAAGTAGTGAGTGCGATTTAACACAGGTTTCATTTTTGAACCATCCTATAATATTAGACACCCAGCCAACACTATGATATATATATATATATATACAGGTTAATAACTTGTGCATTTCCACTAATGGCTTGGCTTATTCGTCCTCTCCCCCCCCCCCCCCCCTCCCAATCACCCAATCAGCTTCAGGCGTCCTCTCATTCATGTGATTTCCTTTTCTGAACATCTTTGATATCTTTGATACCTGAACTGCTTTGATATCTTTGATACATGAACAGCTTTGATATCTTTGATACCTGAACAGCTTTGATATCTTTGATACCTGAACTGCTTTGATATCTTTGATACCTGAACTGCTTTGATATCTTTGATACCTGAACATCTTTGATATCTTTGATACCTGAACTGCTTTGATATCTTTGATACCTGAACATCTTTGATATCTTTGATACCTGAACTGCTTTGATATCTTTGATACCTGAACAGCTTTGATATCTTTGATACATGAACAGCTTTGATATCTTTGATACTCCCAGTTAGTTGTTTTATTATATTGTAAAGTGCTTAGAGCCTGTGTACTTTTATTGGGGTTGAGTGCTATATAAATGTTATTTATTATTATTATTAGCTTTGTTTTGGCATGTCATTTCATTACTTCATTCAACTTATTTCTGTGTTGAAATATTAATGAGAACAACTTACTTCTAAAATCCTAGGGAATTATTCTGTAAAGAAATAAAAACTCAACTTATTTTTTTAAACTTTAAAACTTTTTTTACAAGCTGATTTTTGTAACCATTGCCTTTTACGGAAGTGTTAAAAATTGATTGGTATTGTATTGGAGTTTTTGTTTGTTATGCTAGCCCCAGTATTGTTTGCTTTGTTTGTTGAAACTTTTCTTTGTACAGTCCTTCAGTTCTGCAAAAGTGGGTTCTTTTTTCTTGCTGCATTCTTGTAGGCTTCGATTTGTCACCATCACTTTGATTTTCCTGTCCACAAAATGAATGACTCTTCAAGAGGAGAGATTAATTTTGTGTTTAAATGGTTCTAAAAAAAGCAAACAACACAACGTTTGATTTTCCGTCTTCTTTTCAATCATGTGCTCTAGAATCTTTGTATTAACATGTTTGTGTTTTAGGTAGAGATAACATTATTTCTATTCAAACTTTTAAAATTGTAATTAATGCTTATATTCTGTATTTCAAGATTTGCCCAATATGAACTGAAATAATTTTGATATGGAAAGGTATTTTTCATTGATGATGTGAAATGGCTTTAAGTTTTGTTTTGTTTTCGTTTTTTAAAACTGGAACGAGGTACAAAGAACAGGAATTGATATAGCCTTGCTTAATTCTCTGCGTACAGAACTGGGTCTTGGGCAAACTTCCGCTCAATTGAAAGCAATATTTGCATATATACTGTGCATGTAATTTGATTAAGTAAAGGCTGAAGCTTTGAAGTATTCCTCATTACCAATAACAGTTTTAAGAATTTACATAAGATCCTTTATTTTGTCATTATTTTTGTTATGCTAAAAGCATTGCATAAGTGATAACTTTTTCTTTCATATTTATGTTTCATGGGTGCTCTGGTGTGGTTTGCTTCTTTCCTATCAAATGTCTGTCGTCCTTATCTCTCCTCCTTCTTTTTCGTGTTTGTTATTCTCTTGTAACACCTCTAGTCTTTGCCACTTATATGACTTTATTGTGTTGCAAGTGCTGTAAAACTCTTACGAAGATGGCCGTCCACCCAGCTGGGTTTGTTGTGTTGGAGCAGTTTTTTCAACACTTGTATCTAATCCATGTTTTTATTTGTATGTGCGCTGTTTATGAGGGGGGGGGGGAATTTATGGCGAACATTTTCTACCTGAACTGAATGTTGACAGCTTGCTTATATTATAATATGTGTTCTGTGCTGTAGGCTTTGGCTTTCAATAGTCAGGTGTTTCCTATAGGTTTTAAGCTAGTTAGTGGGTGGTTGGTTGGTGCTCTTGTGTGGTTTGCTCTTTTTTTCCTATTAAACATATGTTGTCCTTATCTCTCCTTCTTCTTTGTATTTGTTACTCTCTTGTAACACCTCTAATCTTTGGCACTTGAATGACCTTATTGTGTCGCAAGTGCCGTAAAACTCTTACAAAACAAATAGGCCAGTGAAGTCAAAGATATGAGGCAAACGTACTATGTATTTAGGTATAGGGTCGTGATACCTATTTATAACTGCACACCAGAGTGCGTCTGTTGTCAGTATACTTTGTTACACTTTTCCCCCCTGGGGCAGTGCCACTGACTGTAGTGTCTTTAGGCCATTCCCAAAAGGGGGACATTTCTCGTTCAAGCACAGTAGAATTGTAAATGGGCTGATTCATGTCACGCTCATAACTGTGCCTGATCTACAACAGGGAACTGCTGCTTTTTCTTTCCTGACCCTTACTATTGTCATTTTCCTCTACTTCTTTTGTATGTTTGACACACTCTTGTGACCTGCTATTTCCGGGGTGCCTTGATAGTGGAAGCAGACCTTGTGCTGTTGAAGCTAGTGAGGGGAGCAGAGTAAGTCTGATTCCCTGTAAAGACTTCTCTGTTAACACCCACCCCTTGGCGCTCATATGACCTTATGCAGTTGCGAGCGCCGTAGAACCCTCTACTATAATTTTTTTTAAATGTTACACTTTGTAGCAAAACTCCTTTTTGTTGTCACCATTACACAAAAGAAATGTCACAAATATCAACAGGGAAACAGCACAAGGAGACTTGTGACTCGAACACGCCTAACGAGTGTGCACAAGGTTTTGAGTGTTTGAGTTTGAGTAACCCACCAGGATTTTTGTGTGAATGCCCGTCTCACCAGTACTACAAGGAGAGTCTTTGTGTGGAAAGTAAGTCTGTACTGCCCAATAATAACCCAGTCCCCTGTCCACCTGTCTACTAATGAGGACAATTCCATGAGGGGATTTTTTCTTCACTAATGTACATATAACTCAAGTTTTTAATTCACCAAATTGATTAGCCAATCAGTGAAGAACTTATTTTTATGTATGTTGCTTGTTTTCATTTACTGACAAACTTTTTGTAGCTATAACTTTGTGTTGTTGAAATATTGGTACCCTGTATGTCTAAAAATGAAAAGTGCTGACAACTGAATAACGTTTTCCTTACTTGCATGGAAGAGATAATATACTAATGTAGACGTAGAACACAAGATGCTCTGTGACATAACATGACTGGGTGAGGGAAAGCTTAAGGCAGTCCTGATGTGAACAGACAGGGAAACACTTTTTCAAGACTTTTCTTTGCTGTATTCTTTGCTGTTTTATACCCTTACTACCGAGAAGAAAGTTCAAAAGTATTATTCCGATGTCTAGTTTTCTCTTGTAAATTTTAGCACGAAGTGTTTCTCTCCTGATATAAATACTGAGGATATTTTTAAAGTCATTTTCATCCCTGGATAGGATTATAGTCTAAGTGAGTAGTTTTAAGATGGTTTTCCCTTTATTAAGGCCACTTTGTGAATATGTTATCACACTGACACTTTTGTCATTTATTTAGTAAAGCACTTACGTTTGGAGAAATGTTTTGTAATGAACCAGGATGTTTTGCTTCTTTTTCATCACAATTTAGTCTTTTGTATGGTCAGTTAATTCAGAATTATTTCCCTCCCTTTAGTAGTTTAAAATCAAGTTTTAGGCCTTGATGTGTGTATTCACTGTCTGAAAGCCGCCCTGTCTTTAGATTGACTTGAGCGTCTGTTTCTCTCCATGTCTAACCTGTCTTAGGACTATTTTATTTAAACAAAGAAATGTTTTGAAACATGAGTGAAGCATTAATCAACTTGCCATGCCATCGACAGAGCTACAATTTAACGAGACGTGTAGGCCGGACGGTGAATGTGCTGAAAATCTTCAGTGTGATAATGAAACTGGCACATGTTTCTGCCTCCCGTCCCTGTACTATAACGGGAGCTCCTGTGTAGAAAGTAAGTGTCAACTCTTCTCTCAGAGCTTCAGAGAGACCCGCGCTTATTCCAGTCTGGGTCCTCTCCTGCTCCCCTGTGTGAACATTGGCACAGCTACTGCATTCCTGAACCCTTACCCTTATATTAAGTTATTATATCGCTGTCCTTTATTGGTGAAGACCAGAGATTTGTCCTTGTTGTTATCAAAGAAATCTTGTAAGTTTGCGTAGAGTCGGTACCCACAATCTTGATCTGTTGTATGGATAGAGTCTGTGTTTTGTTTTTGAAAAGTTGGTATTTCTGTGGGAAAGTATGAATAGTAAACAAAATATGGAGAATCTAGGGACTAGATGATAAGTAATGGGTTCTATATAATTTTGATACAGTTTTATTATTGTTTGAGCCGTGTTAAAACATTTGACCTTCAGCAAACACATGAAACATACATGTATGTATAATACAAGTTAATAACTTTAGTATTTCCATCCATGCTCCTTTGTAGATGCTTGGCTTAGCTCCCCACTGACCAGCCTTTTGGGCTTTTGTCCAACTGTTGACTGATACTTCAGAGAAGTTGACGTCCTGTAGTTTTAGGAATGTAATGTTCAAAACAAGAGTCGTGCATGATCTACTGTTTATTCTTTAATGTATTTTTAATGAACAGCTTTATATTTTTCGTACTTACACCCAGTTACCCTGTCAGCTGTTAAAAAAAATTCATTTGATTAATTCTATTTACTAACCTGTGTAGCCTGTGAATAAATACGACTTCTGGTATTTCTTGGAATTTCAGATTTCGATCTATGTTGAAAATGAAACTGAAACCCAGTGTGTAGTTTACGTGTTTTTTGAACACCTCTTTTACCCTGTGATTTTGTTGCACGCTTTCACAAACTGTTTTATGATCCCCAAAAAGACTATCAGTAGGTTTTTAAAGCATACACCCCCAGTGTTATTTACTTTTATTTGTTTGGTGTTTCCAAATGCTATCCTTCCATCTCGCAAATGTTTTTTCTTAAAAAGTTTTGTTATTATTATTATTATTATTATTATTATTATTATTATTATCATTATTATCATTATTAATATTATTGTTATCATCATTTTCATCATTTTTATTAGAGGTCTGTTTGCTTTTATCACTTTGATTTTACATCCCCATAAAGTTAATAACTCAATAGGTCTTTAAGGGAAAGGGGTGTGCATGAGACATGAAATGTAAAGGAAGATTAGGAAATGATGTATCATTAATGTTATCTCTATTGCATGTATGTTCCTGCTGTACGTAACGTCCTGTACATGATAAAGATAACAACACTGACATTTGATTTCATTGTTCCTTGTAGATTCTCGAAATGAAATTTTTTTTTTTTTTATTTCTCTTTAAATCTTGTAAGGGTTTATTTTCTTGGTGGCTTTAACCCAGTATGATACGCATGAGCAAATTGTGTGTGTGGTCTTTATAAGTACTTCCTGTATGAGGAATAACACCTCCCCCCCCCCCCCCCACACTTCTTTTTTGTGTTGAAGGGAAAAATTCTCTCCCACCCACCCCCACCCCTTCCTTTTCCACTTTTCTTGAACCAAATCCTACTCTCCCTGTTCTCCTGCACATCCCCCCTCCCTCCCCTCTCTCCTCCTCCTTCCCTCCTCCCTCTCCCTCTTCTTCCTCCCCCAAGCTTGTTCAGTGGTCTTGTTGTGTCTCCTTTTAATCCATCCTAATTCCTTTCCTCTTTGTGCCTGCTGGGAATTTAAAGCATACTGCGCTTTGCGGCCGAAATGACTTATCTTTCTCATAGACTTGCGTTTTTTGAGATCGTGAGGTCTGGTCCTGCTCCAGCTGCACCAATTGTCAGTTGACCTATTTTGGCTTAAATTATACATGACGTGTTTACTTGATTTTACTGTATGTTTTGTTTTGTGGATTTGGTTCAAGTTTGGAAAAAAAAAGACAATTTACTTCACACATTGCTCAGCTTTGTATGTTTTTGCACTATGGCTTCTTTCTGTCAGGATTAACCATCCCATGTTACTGTCAGGATTAACCATCCCATGTTACTGTCAGGATTAACCATCCCATGTTACTGTCAGGATTAACCATCCCATGTTACTGTCAGGATTAACCATCCCATGTTACTGTCAGGATTAACCATCCCATCTTTCTGTCAGGATTAACCATCCCATCTTTCTGTCAGGATTAACCATCTCATGTTACTGTCAGGATTAACCATCCCTTGTTACTGTCAGGATCAACCATCTCATGTTACTGTCAGGATCAGCCATCCCATCTTACTGTCAGGATTAGCCGTCCCATCTTACTGTCAGGATTAGCCGTCCCATTTTACTGTCAGGATTAGCCGTCCCATCTTACTGTCAGGATTAGCCGTCCCATCTCCTTTCTTATAGTCAGGGCTGAAAGAAATTGAGAAGAGTACCAAGGTCATAAAGAAGACCCCAGTATTTCTATGGATGGACATGTGCCCAGTTGTTAAAAAATGTACATTTGTCACATGATTTTTTGTTTTTCACGTTAAACTAATTTCTGTCAGTCGCCATGTTTGTGTTATACTATGTAGCCAATATTGTAATGAAGGACATTTTTCTCACTAATACAGGTTGATTCCGTGTTTTGTAGTTGTCATTTTCTACTCTTACCCAAGTGGAATTTGTTTTACCAAAGTCATTTTTTGTTCTTACTTTCCTATGCTTTGATTTGTTCAGAAATTGTGTCCAGGGATCTAGAAATGTACTCAGTAACAGAGCTGAAAGAAAACCTCTCGATGTTATATATACTCCCTAGGCTTTTCCTCTAAAGCTTCTACAGTTTCAGATTGAGGTTTCAGACTGGTTGTGTGGTTTTCTTCTTCTTTCCCATCAAACATCTGTCGTTCTTTTCTCTCCTCCTTCTTTTTTTGTGTTTGTTACTCTCTTGTAACATCTCTAATCTTCGGCACTTATATTATGAACTTATTGTGTTGCAAGTGCCGTAAAACACATACTAAAACTAAAAAAGCATTCCCCCCGGGGCAGTGCCACTGACTGTAGTTGTAGTGTCTTTAGGCCATTCCCAAAGGGGGGACATTTCTTGTTCAAGCATAGTAGAATTGTAAATGGGCTGACTCATGTCACGCTCATAACTATGCCTGATCTACAACACGGAACTGCTGCTTTTTCTTTC